GCCACAAAACAAGGCATTGGTTAGAAATGCGTCATTTGATCTTTTGCTCACTGATATCTCGAAGGTTTTCTGGTATACAATGTTCAATCTGATGTGCAAGGCAACTTTATCTTGCAAAGGATTTGATTGCTGTGTTACTTACTTAGAACTGAATTAACTACTTTTACAGAAGTGGGAAAGCATATTGTTGATAAATATAAATTAACCTTGACAATATTTTAAAGGGATAACCAGTGATAGAATAGAAAGTGTGAATGGAAAACACAATAGAGCTGCTTTAAAAGTCTTTAGAGGCACATAGTAACAGTTATTTTTAGAATCATATTGGTGTCCAAATTACTTCTACCAAATATCATTCCAAAAAGACAGTGAAAGATGTTAAATTTATTATAGGATGCCAAGCGAATAGCCAGTTTTGGGAAAACTTTGTTCCTAAATTGGAGTTAATGATTTCTGCCTACTGTATCCCACCAAAACCGTTGTCATGATGCTAAGCCAGGTGTATAGGCTGAGGTATGAGATTCACAGTTTCTAACTGAAAAGCAATTTCATTAGGCAGCTATTTTTGATGATGTTGGGTAAGAAAATTGGCATTTTAGCCAATACTTTTGACATTGTTAACAAACTAAATTTGAAACTTGTAAGGACAAACAAAGATAGTTATTATTTTGAAGGCATTATTGTCATGGCACCCACTTCTTGGAACTATTTGATCTAGTTTCCACATGTTCACAACTTTGTTGCAACTTATTGAAGGGAACATTATTATTAAAGGCAATTTGAGGGCCAGCCCCACGGCCAAGTGGTTAAGTTCACATTCTCTGCTTCGGTGGACCCAGATTTGCTGAGTCGGATCCTAGGTATGGACCTATACACCGCTCATCAAGCCAGGCTGTGGCAGCATCCCATATAGAACAACTAGAATCACCTACAACTAGATATACAACTATGTACTGGGGCTTTGGGCAAGAAAAAAAAAAAGGAGGATTGACAACAGATGTTAGCTCAGGGCCAATCTTCCTCACCAAAAAAAAGAAAGCATACTTTAAAAATGTAAAAAGAAAGAAAGGCAATTGCAAGAAGAACTTACAAATATTTTTGTATCTCCTTTTCTGTCTCAAACTTTTAATCATTACTTTCCAAAAGAGAAATGGAAAGCATTAAAGAAAAATAATCAGATAAGAGAAGCACTGATTTATAAAATTCTAAAGAATATTTAAATTTTGATTGAACATGTATGTAAATTCTTTGATACTCCTCCCCTCTAGAAGTAGAGCTTAATTCCCTCCCTTAAGTGTGGGCTGCACTTAATGACTCACTTTCAATTTACAGAGTAAGGCTGATGGAATGGTGTGTGATTCTGGGTCTAGGACATAAAACACATTGCAGCTTCCATCTTGGCTGCTCTCTTTCTCAGGTCACTTGCTTTGGGGGAAGACAGCTACCTAGCCATTAGCCACTTTATGGGAAATTCCACATGGCTAAGAACTGAGGATTCCTGGGACCATCCAGGAATGAAATGAGGTATCTTCCAACAGACATATGAGTGAGCCATGTTTCCTCCAAATCCTCCAGCCTCAGTCAAACCATCAGATGATACAGCCTCGCTGACAACTTGACTGCAACCTCAAGAGAGGCCTTGAGCCAGAAGCACTTAGGTAATATCTCCTGGATTTCTGACTCTGGGAAATTGTGGGAGATAACATACCCGTGTTGTTTTAAGCTGTTAAGTTTTGGGTAATTTGTTATGCTGTGGTATATAACTAATAGAGTGTCCAAAAAGAGAGTGAATTGTTGCACTTTAATTTTTGTTTGCTTTAAATTACTTTCAAGATATTAAATATGTCATTTGGTTTTAAGATTTGAGAAGAGGGGCCGGCCCCATGGCTCAGTGATTAAGTTCATGCCCTCCGCTTCGGTGGCCCTGGTTTCACTGGTTCAGATCCTGAGCGTGGACATGACACCGCTCATCAAGCCATGCTGAGGTGGCGTCCCACACAGCACAACTAGAAGGACCTGCAACGGGAATATACAACTTCATACTGGGGAGCTTTGGGGAGAAGAAGAAGAAGAAAAAAAATAGAAGATTGGGAACAGATGTTAGCTCAGGTGCCAGTCTTTAAGAAAATAAAAAACTAAAAAATTAATGAATTAATTTAAAAGATTTAAGAAGAATTTCCATGGCTAATAGACAGGATGCATTTTACTGCCATTCACAACAATCTATTTATTTGAACTTCAATTTCCATCTGTGACCCAGATAAACACAAAAGGAAGAATCAGGCCATGCTAGGCAGATTTTATGAGCGTCCACAATAACCACCCCCTGGTCGTTCACCTTCCCCCAGTTATTCAAACGTTAATGTAGGTGCTGCTGTGAAAGGATTTTGCAGATATAACTAAGGTCTTAAATCAGCTGACCTTAAGACAGGAGGATTCTCCTGGGTTGGACTGTCCCAATCAGGTGAATGCTGTTTGGGGGTTTTTCTGAAGAAAGAGACCCAAAGCGTGAGAGGGATTCAATGTGCGGTATTTTCTCCATTGTGGGCTCTGAAAATGGAGGCCCCATGGCAAAGAATGCCTGTGGCCACTAGGAGTTGGGAGCAGCCCTCCTCTGGCTCCTCAAGGAAACAGGGACCTCAGTCCCACAACTGGAAAACGCTGAATTCTGCTAATAATCTCTGGGTATGTTTAGAGGAGGATCCTGAGCTCAAGATGAGAACCTAGCTTTGTGAAACCCTGAGCAGAGAACCCACACACACCACGCTTGGATTTCTGACTAAGGAACTGTAAGCAAATAAATGAGTGTTGTCTTGAGCCACTAAGTTGTGGTAATTTGTTTTGCAGTAACAGAAAACTAATACATAGGCCCACTGTGCAGCAGACAAGCACAGAGCATTTTTTCCACTGGGATGAATTTATGAGATTTATTACACTAATTGCATGAAATAAAATCTTTCCTAACTTTTTCTGTATTTTTCATTTTATGAATTTTATGTAATACAATTAAAATTTAATACAATCATATTTCATTCATTCACTCAACAACAACTAATTTAATGCCTACTATGTACAAGGAACAGCCTTAGATGCTGGACATACAACTTTGACCTAAACAGCCCAAAGCCCCTGTGCTCATGTGTCTTACATTCGAGAGGCTTCCTAAGAGTGAGACGGAGCCATTGGGGAGTTTTAGTGAAGAAATGACACCTCCTGAGTCAATTAGCAGGATCACTGACCCCTGTGGGGAGGATAGTCCATGGGTGGCAAGTAAGGGGGTGGTGCTGGTGCCACAGTTCAGGAGTGAGAGGGTGGAGGAGACTAAGGAGAAAAGGGGGCCTGAGGGGTGGGAGGGACAGAGAGAAGGGCTGGAGGAGCAGGGGTGAGGAGAAGCAGCAGAGGTAAAGAACTCTAAAGCAGTGGAATTTTCAGATTTAAATATAGGTTTTGTTTTATAGATCTTTAATAAATATATCTACAGAGCCTAGCAGGGTGTTCTTTGAATTTGGTATTTAATACATTCTGTGGGGCTGGCTAAACACCAACTGTCTCCTTATGTTAAGTACTTGATAAAATAACAAGTGTCATGATAAAATACACACACTGCTCAGACATGAATAATTCATAAAAACAGGCAGTGCAGGAGCACTGGTGAAGGGCATTTGACTGCATTGAACACCTTCAACTTTGAGGTGATTAAAGTTTGTACATGCTCCTGGTTGAACTACACAGAAATAAACTGTGCTTCCATGTACGGAGGATGTGTCACAGACACACAGACACACTCAGGGCTATGGAATTAAGATCATTTTATTTATTTATTTATTTAAGGGTATGCTTTTTGGTGAGGAAGATGGGTCCTGAGCTAACGTCTTGCCAATCTTCTTCTTTTTTAATTTTATTTTTTCTCCCTAAAGCCCCAGTACATAGCTGTACATCCTAGTTGTAAGCCCTTCTAGTTCTTTTATGTGGGATGCTGCCACAGCATGGCTTGATGAGCTGTGTGTATGTCTGCACCCAGCATCCCATCTGGTGATCCCTGGGTAGCCAGAGCAGAGCACATGAACTTACCCACTACGCCACTGGGCTGGCCCCTGAAGACCATTTTAAAACACAACAACCCGGAGTTACAGACATACTGTCTGGGAAAGTAAAACTTATCGGCTTTGTGGGGGTGATTGCAGTGCTCTTTAACCACTAGACCATCAGGGCTGGCTCAGAGGCTAGGTTCCTTTTTGTTCATCAACTGCAGTGGGTAACACAATCTTGAAAACCCCTGAATACCAGGAATCCAATCTGTAGAAGAAGTGATTTAAGCCCCTTCATATATAAAAGTATCTAAAGTTTGCTGGTCTCACTGCTTCAACAGCCTGAATTTGCGCTACCCAGTGGTGGAACCACCTCACCCTCTGTCAGCTGCCATGCTTTGGCTGCAGCTCACAAGGAAGAACTAGAACGACTTACAACTAGGATACACAACCATGCACTGGGGCTTTGGGGAGGACAAAAAAAGAGGAAGATTGGCGACAGATGTTAGCTCAGGGCCAATCCATTCCTGAAAAGAAAAAAAAAGGAAGCTGGTCTCTATGAGAACCTCTGTCTAGTGTTTTCAGGCACAACTTCTCCAGGTTTAAAGAGAAAACCCCTGTCCCTCCACCTTCACTCCCAAGGCGAGCGAGCTCACCGGCATCAAGTTCCCTGGGAGTGAATTTTCTTCCAGAACAGTCCAAAGGGAGAGGTAAAGGTGACAGGAGAGAGGTGGGGTCTCTCCCTTGGTTTCCTCAGACAGCCTCTGGGCCAGGACTCAGGGAGACAGGGTGACAAAAAGCTCTCGGTGCAGGAGGAGAGGGGTCAGGGCAAAGTCCCAGGTCCCCGGGCGTGGCGCTCAGGGTCTCAGGCCCGAGGGCGGTGTCTGGGGCGGGCAAGCTCAGTGTTGGGGAGTCTCTGTCTCCCTGAGTTTCACTTCTACTTCTCACCACCTGTGACAGGTCCTCCTGTTGGAGACTCCAAGACGCGGCCCCAGTTCTCACTCCCATTGAGTGCGCGGTTTCTAGAGAAGCCAATCAGCGCCTCCGCCGTTCCCTGTGGTAAAGTCTTCACTGACCCGGCCTAGACCCAGATTCTCCCCAGACCCCGAGGATGCGGGTCAGGGCGCCCCGAACCCTCCTCCTACTGCTCTCGGGGGCCCTGGCCCTGACCAAGACCTGGGTGGGTGAGTGCGGGGTCGGGAGGAAACGGCTTCTGCGGGGGGCGGAGGGCGGGGAGCGCGCGGCAAGGGCGCAGGACCCCCAGGGAAGGCGCGTCTCTGCCCGCGGCCCTGCCCAGTCCTGACCCCTCCCTTCTCCTGCCCCCTCTGCTTCTCACTGCAAGTCCCCGCCTTCTCCAACTCACCGCCCCTTTTCCGTCTCAGGACCCCCTCGCAACCCTCCCTTTCCCCCCGCCCCTTCCCCTTCCCCTTTCCCTTTCCCTTCCCGGTCAACCTCAGATCGGGGTACCTGCGCCGGGGGCGGGGAGAGTCAGGCCGAGTCTCAGCCCCTCCCTGCCCCTAGGCTCCTCCCACTCCCTGAGATATTTGCACACCGTCTTTTCCCCGCCCGGCCGCGAGGAGCCCCGCATCATGTCGGTGGGCTACGTGGACGACACGCAGTTCATGCGATTCGACAGCGACGCCGCGAGTCCGAGCGTGGAGCCGCGGGCGCCGTGGGCGGAGCAGGAGGGGCCGGAGTATTGGGAGCGGGAGACGAGGATCTACTTGGACACTGCAGAGAATTTCCGAGTGGAGCTTAAAACCTTCCACGACTACTACAACCAGAGCGAGGACGGTGAGTGATGCGAGCCTGGGTGCAGGTCACGACCCCCCATCCTCAGGGTCTCCTGGAGTCTTCGGGTCCATATTTCACCCTGAAGCTGCCGGACCTGCCCGGCCCCTCGACCTGGAAAGAGCGGGCAGAGACTGTCATTTGATTTCGTTTTCAGTTTAGGTTTAATCACCGTGGGTCGGTCGGTAGCGGGACTGACCTCGGGGCGGGGTTAGGGTCTCACACCTTCCAGTGGATGTATGGCTGCGACGTGGGGCTCGATGGGCGCCTCCTCCGCGGGTACAGTCAGATCGCCTACGACAGCGCCGATTTCCTGTCCCTGAACGAGGACCTGCGCTCCTGGACCGCGGCGCACCCGGGGGCTCTGATCTTCGCGCACAAGTGGGAGGCGGCAGGTGCGGTGGAGCGCCACGGAATCTACCTGGAGAGCACGTGCGTCGAATGGCTGGGCAGATTCCTGGAGAACGGGAAGGAGACGCTGCAGCGCGCAGGTACGAGGCCCCACGGGGCCTCCTGCAAGGAGAGGAGAAAATGGGATGACGCCAGACCTTAGTCAGGAGACTAAGTCCATCGGGTTTTTCAGGTCCACTACCAAAGAGTGACTATTCCAGAGGGCTTGCCTTTCTTTCGAGGACCTTTAAGGGGCCCAGTCTCTCCGGGGATGGTGGGGGAAGCCGTCCCTGAAATAACTGACAATTAGTTCCTTTTGACTCTGGCAGCAGCTCTGGGAACCATGGGGGACTTTCTCTCTCAGGCCTTGTTCTCTGCCCCACGTTCTATGTGTTTGAGGTGTGACTCCAGCTTTTCTGAGTCACCTGGCCTCCATCCCAGGTCAGGATGAGAAATCCTTTTCTCAAGCTAAGAGATCTGCCTTCTACTCTGGGTTGTCTTCCTCTGATTCTAGAACTTTCCAAACAATAGGAGACTATCCTAGAAGCCTATGTCCAGGCTAGTGTCTGGATTTTGTGCTCCCTTCTCTCACCAAAATTGTCCTGTCCATTCTCAGATTGGTCACATAAACGCTGCTTCAGTGGCCCATGACAGATGTAATCTTCCTGAATTTTCTGACCCTTTTTCTCAGACCCTCCGAAGATGCATGTGACCCACCACACCACCTCTGACCATGAGGTCACCCTGAGGTGCTGGGCCCTGGGCTTCTACCCTGCGGAGATCACCCTGACCTGGCAGCGTGATGGGGAGGACCTGACCCAGGACATGGAGCTTGTGGAGACCAGGCCTGCAGGGGACGGGACCTTCCAGAAGTGGGCGGCTGTGATGGTGCCTTCTGGAGAGGAGCAGAGATACACGTGCCATGTACAGCATGAGGGGCTGCCTGAGCCCCTCATCCTGAGATGGGGTAAGGAGGGAGCCGTGGGCTCAGAGCCTCTTCTCAGGGAAAGCAAGAGCCCTTCTGGAAAACTTCTGCAGGGTTGGCGTTGAGACCAGTGGGTCAGGGCCTTTGCATTCTCATCCCTTTGCAGAGCCGCCTCCTCAGTCCACCATCTCCATCCCGGGCCTCGTTGTTGGCCTAGTCCTCCTTGGAGCTTTGGTCACTGGAGGTGTGGTGGCTGGAGTTGTGATGTGGAGGAAGAAGCGCTCAGGTAGGGAAGGGAGTGGGGGGATGGGAAGTTTTCTTTTCAAGTCCAGGTAGAAGTTTGTCCTGCCTCGTTAGTAGGAAGTCCCATCCACAGGCACGTGTGCTTTCCTATTCTGGGACCCTGTTTGCTAACACTTATTCTTTAGTAAAGCACGTGTAATAATGAAGGATGGATTTATCACCTTGATGAATCTGGTGATGGGGACCTGATTCCCAGCAGTCACAGGACAGATGGGAAGGTTGCTACTAAGGACAGACCTCCAGTAGGTGGTTGATCTAATCTTTGCCTATATACTATCCTCACGTTTTGTGACCCTATCCTGGCTCTGTAGTTACTGTACTGGAAACTACCCTGGTGTCCAGAACTAGGGGATTCCTTTAGGAACTCATGGCTCTGCCTCCTCTCTGGCTTCTCACAGGGTGTTTTCTTTCCACAGATGGAAATGGAGGGAGCCACATACTGAGTGAAGGTAAGTTTGAGTGGAGGGTGATCCCTGAGACCCTTGGGACAGTGTAGATGGGAGCCCATGGGGGAGCTCGCCTACCCCATAATTCCTTCTTTAGTTTCGTCTCCTGTGGGCTCTGACCACATCCTGTTTTTGTTCTACTCCAGGCAGTGACAGTGCTCTAATGTGTCATGGCAGGTGAGACCCTGGAGGCCTGAAGTGGGAGAGGGGTTGAGGCAGAGGGGACAGTACAGTGTTATGAGGATTCTTCGATTGGGACATTTTGAGCGTGTGGTGGGCTGTTCAGAATGTCACCAGTACAACCACTGACTTAAATTTGTTCATGATTATTTTCTTCTATAGCATGAGAAGGTGCCTTATGGGGGACTGAGTGATGCAAGATTTGTTCATCCCACTTCCCTTGTGACTTCGGGAACCTCTGATTTCTCTTTTTGCAAAGGGTGTCTGAATGCGCCTTTGTTCCTATTAGCATAATGTGAGGAGGTGGGGAGACTGCTCTCCTACATGACCCCCTCCCCACACTGACCTGTGTTCTCTTCCCTGACTCACTTTCCTGTTCCAGCAGAGGCGGGGCTTGGCCGTCTCCATCCCTGTCTTTACTTCATGTTGCCCTGAGCTGCAGCTTCTTACTTCCTTATTAAAAATAAAATCCTGGATATGAATTTGCTTTTCAAATTCTTGCCATGAGGGATTGGTGGGTTAATTAAAAGAGAAGATTCCTAAAGTTTGGGAGAGGAAATAAATGGAAGTGCTGGGAACCTTCCAGAATCCACATTTGCTCTGTTGAGTCTGTTGCAGGTGAGGACTGGAGAAGGCTATGAGGAGCTGAGCATGGACAGGGCCTGTGCCAATTGAGTGCTCAGTGTATCATTGGCTTTGATGTGGTCACTCTTCATCTGGGTCATCTCTCTACCCCTTTGTCCTGGTCCCTTCAGTAAAACCTTGTCCTACCGGGACCTGTGATCACAGGGACGGGGACATCACCTGGGTTTTGTCGTGTCTCCAGGACCACAGGCAATGAGAGCTTCATGTGACTGGGTCAGCCTAGGCTCATGCCTAGGTCCAGGCCTCAGTCCCCCTTTTGGGTGTTTATTTATTATTTCTTTGTTTCTGTAGAGGATTAGGCCTGTTCTTGTTCTTGTGTAATTTCTCATCCAAGATAAATTCCTGTTGGAATTCTTCTGCTCTGCAGCCTGCCTTCTCTCCTGGCCTCAGTTCTAGTCATCCTAGTTCTGGCTCCAGTGTGAACTCACAATGTATAAAGCAGAGTCAACTTTAGATTTATATTTTTTGGAAAATAGGGCCCGTAAGTCAAGGATCATTGTCTCCTGTGCCCTGGGACTCCCTATGACAAACTACCCGAAGAGCTGACACAGCCAGATGGAGTGTGTCTCAGAACCCTACTCTATTCAACTGGCCAACAAGATGCATGCCAGTACATGCATCTTCAGGATGGTAGAGACCAGAGAGGATCTCAGTGGTCACAGAGCTAAGCTCTCAAGACATAGAACAAAACAAAAGGGAAAACTTCATCTTATATGCACATAACAGCTTTACCTAAGCCTCGGGTCTCTTGGAGCCAAACTAATACCTAAGAGGGATGTGCCATGGAGTTGGGGATCATGTGTTGTTTTACAGAGTACCTTGTTGCACGAAAATTTCCTTGAGGTTGGTTGGTTGACTTAGTGTCTATCTACCCCGTTCCATGATCAACTTATCCTATCATGGGAATCTCCTTGAGGTTATTACCAAAACCAAAGTGAGTTTGCCTTGTGGTGAGTTAAATCAGACTCTCCACCAGAAATAGTCAACACACAAAGTAAAGTATATTTGTAGCAAATAGGAGACCATGCAGAATCATTTCCAAAGTCATGGCTCCCCAAACAAAGGGAAGCAGGGACATTTTATTTCAGATGGGGAATGAATATTCAAAAGGGAGAGGTGGGTATTCACTTGCGCAGGCTGTTGGAAAACAGCTTCCACATACACTGCAGGTTATGGTAATAAGGCCTAAGCTCCTCCTGGAGAGATCTTAGCATTAGAAATAAGGCAAAGATCATAGGCATAGCTCTGTGGTGAGGCTTGGTCTGGTTCAGGGCGTTTGGTGATTGCGTCTCCTTAACATAAAAGGAAAAACAGTAAAATGCTTCCAAACCCACCCTTGAGTTCCCCAGGGCAATTAGTCAGTGACAAGGTGGTGAGCTTCCTAATGACTCTTCAGTCTTCAACCTGTGCCCAACAATTTTGTGGCTTTGGCTTTTAACAAGTACTGTAGCAATAGCTTATACCTCCTGTGCATACTAATCCACAGAAAAGTTTGTCGCCAAGACTGTGGGTCTGGCACGGACAACAGGCTTATAGGACCTATGCCGCTGTTCTGTCCAATGGTTTTTCTTTTTTATGACAGAAGACAGAGACAAGGAAAAATAGTGACCACCTCTGAGAGGAGAAGGATCAATAAACCAAACAGTACTCTACCAAATTTCCAAGAGTGACTGAGTCAAACAAACTAGCTTCACAAATATTTTCTCCTGTTAATCTAAATTTAGAACAGGAAACAACTCTCCCCTCTTGCTTCCACTGAATGCTTCAGGCAGAGATCCAGGAGACTGACATAGTAACAATTCTTACCTTCTGCTAGCTCTAGTCAGAGGTCCAGGAGTTGTCAGCTGCAGTAGTCCTGGAGTGAGCAATGTCCAGCCAGTTAACTTTTATCCCATCCTCGTAGCCAACTGAAGGGGAGGAAGAAATATTCCTTTACCATCTAGGTTCTTCTGGCTGGTCTAAGAATTAAATCAACATCAGATAGAATAACAGGAGAAAATCAGACAAATTTCATAACATGTATACATGGGAGAAACCCAGGAAGACTGAGTAACTCACTAAAATGGCTGAAGCCACCACCTTAAATAACATCTTCAGCTAAAGAAAAAAGAGGATGTTAGGGGTAGCGGTTTTGGAATTCAGAGCAGAGTAAGGCAATTCACATGGAGATGGAAAAGCAAACGTTTGGTAAACAAATATTTGTCTTGCCTTGGCAAGACAAAAGACAAAAGAATATGGAGAGGACTTTGATCAAATGGAGCTTGCTAGGTTCTGGCATGCCTACCACACCTAGTTTATATTATATGATAGTTATCTATGATAATAGCTCCTTCCTGGAACAGGCCTTCCATCATAAATTCTTTTAGGTGTTTACTAAGGGATGTCAAAGTTTCTTCCTGAGTCTGTTGTTCTTAAAAATAATCAAGCCAAAGAGGTATTTTGGGGTAGCAAATTCTGCTGCTCTATAGGATGACTTCTTTAAAAGGATCACCTTGGCTGCTGTGCTGAGAACAGGATTGGGAGGCAAAGAGTGAGGGAGGTCCTATGGAAGCAGCAGGAACTAGGGCAGCGTTCCAGGCTGGAGGAGGGCATGGCTTCCACAGAGCATGAGCAGTGGGAATAGTGGGAAGTAATTGGATTCTGGATACCTTCTGAAGATGAACTTTGCAGCATTTCCTAATGGATTAATCTGGAGAGTGAGAAAGAAGAGTCAAGGAGGACACCCAGAATTTTGGACTATGTAAGTAGAAAAATGGAGTTGCTGTTAGCAGAGATGAGGAAGACTGTAGAAGAAGCATATTTGAGTTAAAGCATAACAAGCATTCACTTTAAGAGATCTTGAATCTGAGATGTCGATTAGAAATATAAGTGAGGTAGTTGGGTTGGCAATTGGACAAATGAGTTGGAATTTAGGACAAATGAGTTGGACAAATGTGTTGGACAAAAGAGCTGGAGAATTAGACTTGGGAGGTAACACCATATAAATGATATTTAAAGCCTGGAGAACAGATGAGGTCACCAAGAACGTGATGTCTATGGAAGAGAAAGGAACAAAGACTGAATCCTGGACCCCGCAGTGCTAAGGGATCTTAGCAGACGACACACACAGAGCAGACCGCACAGTTCTGGCTCCACATCTAGAAAGCACAGAGACCAGGGAGTCCCTGTGCACAGGAATCCCCTGGGCATTTTGTTAAGATACAGAGAGTCTGGAGTAGAGCATGAGATTCTGTGTTTATAACAAAGTTGGTGTGATATTGCTGGTCTTCAGATCACACATTTATTGGCAAGAATGTAGACCAGGACTCTTTCATGGCTGGGCATCAGCCTCAGGTGTAGGGCTTGTTAAGTAAGTGATTCCTTGGTTTTGTACCTAATACCCTGAGATAGTGGATCTGGGGAGAAGCCTGAGTATTTTGTAAGAGGCCCCACAGCAATGCTGGTGCTCAGCCCTCATCACTGGAGTCTTTCTGGTGACCAGCCCCCATCCTGAAGCTATCTAGGACTCCTCAGCTATCTCAGTAGCATATGAAAGTCATTTATCACTCGGGAGATTCCAAGGGTTTAGGAGCTGTCTGCCAGGAACCAGGGACAAAGATCAAATATTTTTTGTTATACCACAGGCCACCACTTGATCTCCGACCACAGCTCCCTTATAGCAAAAGGATCATAACAGTTAAAAGATGTTGGCACACTCTGGAGTCCCATTCAGTCATGAACGATTAGTCCTGTTCATCATCCTATTGTATGAGAATGTCTTCCAGGACAAGGTCACTCAGATTTTCAGGCTTCCATTTGATCTCAGGAGTGGTCTCAGCAATATACAGCGTTCACCCTTTCAGGCATCTAGATATTTGAGCTAAGAGACATATCATCTCTTGCTCACACCTCTTTTGAGGTGTTAATGTAATATTTGGTTTCTCTCATTACATAAAATATTTATTCATTGCTTTACCCACAAGTATTTCTCCTTCTCTCCATTTATACCAAACTTTGACAGCTTTGGAAGGGACATTACCTTTGGCTGCTGGGTTGGTCTAGACTGCAGGCAGCAATACTAGTCTAGCAGTCCCTCCTCCTCAGTCCCCTCCCATTCATGGAGGGGAAGGCAACACAGGTGCAGAGCTAGTGTGCTAACTGACAACGAGGCAATACAGCTGACAACGAGGCAATACAGCTGCGTGCACTGTCAGTTGGGGCAAAGGCACAATCTGCCCCTTCAGGCCCTTAGGAATTCTGACATAAAGGTTTAAAAATACAGGTACAGTTTCTTGCTCAGGAATCATTCCTGTTTCTGGCACTTGTAGTGGCATCCCTGTCCTGAGACCACTGCATCAGGTAGGAAGAGTGAAAGTCGAGGTGAAATATAGTCATACCAACTTCCTCCCTACTTGGGAAGAACCCTCTCCTTCCCCTCCTCCCCAGATCTTCCAGTAAAAAGATAGGAAACTCTCTAGTGGGGACATTCCTTTAGCCACACTCATGTTGAGTCAGAGCACACACTTGTGAAGATGTGTGAGCCAGCCCTTCATGATTCTATAACCCCCACCACCCCATTTTAGACAATCAGAGAGAATTTAAATACCACATTCCAATTCTCTGTGAAACTGTTACTCTGAGGAGGTTATCTCTCTGCCCATTGTGGGGCATTGTGTGAAGAGATGTGACTCAGCAGGCCTAATTGGTGCAATATCTTCTGTTCTCGTTCTTTTCTAGCACTCTGGGCATTTGCATCTCCCACTGGGTAAACAATGTCCAATCCAGAATCAATATCTACCCCCATCAAGACCCATTTGTAGCCTTTCTGGGCCACCAGCATCAGTCTGACTTGCCAGCT